CAATGTATGTTATACTGATTCTGTAAGCACACATTTGTTTTGACTGTAAAGACTTTAAGGATTTTTTTCTGTATCTCAACAATCAATATTGACAACATTTTTTAGACTGATGATGCAAAATAAACAGAAATGACACAAAGTCTTTTAAAGCTAGCCTGCATGTCTTCCTCCACAAATATTCAAGTGTAACTTAGGTCGTATTCACACCTGACACATTTGCTCCACTTTAAACAGACCAGAGTTCGTTTCCAGCGTTGGTCCGGACCTTTTGTTCAGGTGTGAATACACTCATGCATTTTTGTGCATGCATTTTTGGACTTCACAGGCCACCGTTGCTGAGCTAAATAAACTGAAATCATACCTGATTTGTTGTCTCCTGTTAGCAGCTCTGCTGGCAGCATGTAGAGGATCAGAACACGCAGAGCACCTCGTCTCCTTTGGGTTGCAGGACACATTTGCTGACGTCATTCCAAAATTAGAATTTCATCACGAAACCACCATTAAATTAGCTGCTTTTGTTATTTTAAATGGTTTAGCAGTTGTACTAACAACAAAAATGTGCACATCAGAACTGCAGCACGCAGAACTTCCATGTTTTTTCTGGGTCTGTCCTGCCCCTGTCCTTTCAGTCCAATGATCGTCACCCTCGTGGCTTTGTTTACAAGTTATAGTTCATTTGTAAAAATGTACAATGTGAATGCAAAACACACCAAACAATAAATAAATAAATTAATTAATAAATTAATTAATTAATAAATAAATAAATTAATTAATTTTTGGTCAAACAAGCGAACCAAAGGACTTTCCTGGTGTGAATACACCCTTAATTCACAGTCAATATAGCATTTCCGTTTTGGGCTGAAAATGCTTTAATCAGGGCTCTGAAGTTTTGACCTGAGCTTGGAGTGAGATTTTTTTAGAAAAGTTGTTTTGGCGCCCTAAAAGCTGCAAAACAATGTCGTCGTCCAATTTGCATATTTGGGTTTTTGCCAACAATTGTGATCAGGGCTGTGTGATATTTAATGTAGGAGAAAACTGTAAAATCACTCTGATGGGAGGTCTGGGGGTCCTCCCCCATAAAATTTTGAATGAAGTAGATGCTATTTCCTGCATTCTGCTGTATTTTAGCAGGTTGTTAAACATACTTTTACCAACATAAGTAAACACTTGGTGAGTATTCTATAGGTCAAGTGGAAGGGGTTCGCAAACAGTTTGGGTCTGGGAACCCCTTACAAGGGTGGAAAATTTCCAGAGACACCCCCCCCCCCCACCCCTCATAAAACCCATGCTGTTTAAAAAATAATTTACTTTCATTTTAATCCCTGAAGTCATTTGCAGCTATAGGGTTGCTGAAGTAGTAAAAGTAGCTGAGAGTATTTATTTATTTATTTTATTCTAAAACAACAACAACAACAACAACAACAACAACAACAAAGACCATTTAAAAAATCCAAGTAAATTATTGGATGAAAAAGGGTCAAAAGAAAAAAAAAAGTATATCTGCCCCTATTAAAAAAACAACCTACTCCAAGCACTAACATCAAGTGAGGTCTTTGTTATAAATTTTGACTTGCAAACCTGCTTTAAAAATAGCCGGATTATCCCTTTATTTAACATGGCTCTGATGCTGACCCAGCTGTTTGCAGGAGATGTGCAGCAGTCGCAGCATAACACTTTAAAACTATGATGACTTCCAATGCAGGAATAAAAACAACAGGCGGAGACGGATCTTTTTATGCAAAGTGAGCAGTCTGTCCAGCCAGAGAGATAAATATTGAGCTGCTCATTTGTTCATTTGCAGAAAGTGTGTGTGCATTCATGTGTGTTTTAGCATGAGAAATGCAAAGTGTGGCGTGTGCACGTCCTGAAATGCTTGTGTCTCACGGTCAATGCTGAGACTTGAGAGATCTGGTTTTAATGCATATCTTGATAAAATGCTTCAATTTGAGGTTATTACTCAGGTAAAAGATGTAATTGTCTTATTTTATCAATAAACATCAATAGCTTACCTTTGACAAATAAATAAATACATGTTTCACTGTCCTTTCTTTTTTTTGTTCAAGGACTTTCTGAAGGGTAAAGTTAGTGCTTCATTCATTCTGAAAGAAATAAGGTACAATGTACCTGTTTAGAAAAGAAAAAAGCTGGCAGATAGTAATTTAAGTTTGTTTGACTGCCTTTGTCACCTCCACCTTCAGCATCCACAAGCATCATAAATACTCCATACATCCTCTCCCACAGGTCTGCCTCTGGGTGTGTGTGCTGTTTGTCACTCTTTGGAATTGATAAAAAAAAAGATTGGTCCCTGGAGAGCGTGTTGTTACTGTCATAAAGGGAAGGCCATGTCCACATTATTATTTTTCTCATTGCGGGCAGCAGTGTGCAGCTTTTCACCGCACTTTAATCTGCTCTCCAGTCGGACACGCGGGACTTGGCCTTGCCCCCTCGTCACCCCCAGCAGACTCACGGCGGTAAATATCAGATGGGGTTTCTGCCGCCACAGAGACACGATACAATCAGCAGCCAGAACAATAAGAGGTTTTCAACTGGTGGCCACAGCCCTAAAGTGGGCTGAAGGACTATTCATACACACAAGTATAACAGTGAATAATAAAGGGGGGATTTTTTGTTATATTTTTATTTTCTTCTGGAATCAAGATTTTGTAAATTTTTACAATACAGTCATGTTTGAATATTTTAACACTTTTTTTTAAACATTAAAAACTGTTTGAAGTGTTTTTAATAACTGGTATGTCCTGAAAACGGGGTTTACTACAAGTCAAAATTCTATATTCTCCATCTTTTGTTTTTACACCTGATGTTCAGGACAGTTTTGTCGCAGTTCAAGTCTTTCTTTTTTTGTTGTTATTCATGTTTTTTGTTTTAATCAATTCTCTTTGTATTCTATGTGTGCCATCATTTATTTATCTTCAGCTCCTCAGTGTTTTTTTTCCTCACCCAGTCTTGCACCGCCCACCCTCACCTGTTTGCAGTCAAAAAGTTCAGGTTTCTCCACTTCCTCATCAGCTGAGCTCTATTTGTTCACTTCACTTCCGTTTCATCTGTTCATAATTGGGTTTCACACATAAGTCTGGACATGTTGTTTCTCACTGAGTTCTCTTCATAATCATGGAAGTTTCTGCTGCAAATACAAGCTTTTAATTTATAAAATAACTTTTATTTTATAAAGATTTTTAATAAAAAGTTTTTGGGATAGCAGTCTAAATGATAAGTTTATTTGTTCATCTAAATGAATTCCCATATATTTTCTTGGGGTCTAAAAAGAAAAAAAAACATATTAAAACAAATCAATTTAAAAGATATAATAAATAAATTAAAAAAACATAAAACAAATCATTCATAATCACAAAGCAAAAACAGCCAGAAACAAAGACAACTAACTTTTAACAGTTCAAAACCAAAACAAACGGCTCAAACACTTCAAAATACTACAATGCACAAAGACAGAAGAAACACTAAATGAAATGACTTAAATGAATCAATTAAATATCTCATTTTGAATAGTATACATTTTTAAATCCTTTTTGAATTTATTATAATTGTCCAAACACGTTAATCCTGAAAGCAATTTAATCCAGTTAGAAATGGCTCAATACATAACTGTACCTTTTTTTTAGTGCTTTTTATTTTAGTTAGTATTTTTTAGTATTTATTTGTTCTGGGCAGGGGTGATGTAAAGGTAAAAACATAGGCTTTTCTTGTATTAAAACCAGGGTTCATAATTATTAAACTTCTTAGAGTAGAATTTTAGATTTAAGTGTATGTTGCTTTTAATTTATTTATTTCTTTTACACTTGTGCAGCACTTTGTGACCCTGGTCTGTGAAAAGCGCTATAGAAATAAAGTTTACTTACTTAGAATTTTTTTTAGATTTACTCCTACTCTCAAACTTAAGTGTAAATGCCAATTATCAAAATTCTTAAGTCTAAGAATCACTCTTATTCACTCAGATATTTAAGACTGCTCCAGAGGACTCTTCAGTGGTTAAGAGTTGCCACCAGGGGTCTGAGATGGACTGAAGACAGAGATCACACAGAGAACAGCTGTCCTCCTCCCCACCTGAGTGTGATTATCTGTTTTAATGTACAGAGCAACTAAAATAAGGTTTAGTCATGCAATACAAAAGACAGAAAAGGAGAAAAAACTATTATCAGTGTGAATAATGTTGGACTAAAAGGCAGATATTTCTGTACGGCTTTTGGAGAGAATATTAAACTATCAGCTAGTGAATACATGCAAAGGACCCCACCCTCCAATTTACAGTGGGATTAAATTTTCCTTTCTACAACTCAAACTTCGATGGAGCATGCCCAGGGGTGGGTCTCGAACCAAGTGGACAATGACAGAGCGGTGTTGTGTGTGTGAAGGGGTGTTGTCTGCTGGCAGTTTCTCCTGTAGAGGAGGAGGAGGAGGTTGCAAGGCAAGCTCATTTCCTTAGGCCCTGAGACATGGTCATAGACACTTTAAGGCTGAGTTTTTGAAAAAAATCTGTGAGATTTTCTTTACACGTTTGTATTCTTGACGCAAATAAGGACATTTTATGTAATTTACAGAAAATCAGTATAGCGTGTCATGTATGAACATTAGAGTGTTGAAAGTGAAGTTATCTTGGGTTTTTCAGTTTTATCTTGGGATTTCTCAGAATGTTCTTGATCATGAAATCTGATGCAATAATTGGTCCATGCCGGTGGTTTTGTAACATCATTCAGGATCAGTTTTGTAGCACAGCAATGTGTCGTAAATCAGCTTTAAGACTGACAGAAGAATTACTCCTACACTTTGCTTAAAGTGAGACTGAGACACTTGATAAATGACTTTTAGTCTCAGCCTTTAGCTAAGAAAATTTTAACAAGTCTATTCTTACGAGTAATTCTGAGAAGTTTAATAAATACAGGCCCTAATCTTTTTTGAAGCACAAGACCAAACAGCTGAATATCAGGATTTAAACAAGATCAACGTGGGTAAAACTGAGACAGACCAGGACAGGAGACGGTATACAAAAGAACAGTGTTTATTTACAATTTGTGAAACGGGAGTCTGGACCTGGAACAGAAGGGAGGCAAAGGTGAGTCGAATTTGTTCTTTGTTTTGAACCAGTTGATAAATAGTTAAAGTCTCTCGTTTGCTTACAGGGTCGGGAGTGGGGATCCACACAGAGAGGTCGATCCGGGGTCCAAGGGTGAAGGTGCACAGGTGAGTATTTACAAGAGGTGGAGGCAGCGGAGGAGCAAGAGGATCAGGTGAGTGGCTCATAAAAAGTTCCGGGCAGCGAGAGAGTCTTGGTGGCAGGTCCAGCAAAAACAACAGGTAAACAGGTACGAGAATCTGGAGGCAGGCAAAAATACAAAAACTCGAATTAGCAAGGACTAGGATTTAGACAAGGCTAAAAGGCTGAGATCATACCCAAGGAGTAAGATGTTTCAGCGAAGACCTGGTCCACTTCTCTGGCTTATAAAGCCCAGGAGTTGATGAGCCCAGATCCTCTGCAGGTGGGTGCARTCAGAGTTGCACCAATCAGCGGGAGGCAGGTGGGAAGCTTCCAAATTGCCTCACTGAACAGTCAAAGTGACACAAAACTATACACCACAATACCAATATTCTTATTCTATGAGACATAAGAAGGGATTACACCAAATTATCACAATATTTCTACTTATTTTTGTCAACGTCTTTTGAATATGTGTGGACCATTATACACTTTGATCAGTTGTAACTCCCAAAAGTTTGATATCCTTTACCAGTTCAGTTTGGTTGTTATTTAAAGACATTTCTGAAATTGGAGTTGGTCTGATAAAATATTTAGAGCACAGTAACATACATTTAGTTTTTAACATGTAGAGTTTTAACCTTTTCTGTTATTCACTTAAAACCAGACAATAGTTCTTGTTGTAACACCTTGTTGTAACCTTGTTTACCTGATCCAAACTGTCAGAAGACATACCGTTGTATCATCTGTATAAACAATTGTTGAACAGTCACTTAACACATACAACATGTCATTAAAAATACCAAATAGCAGAGGACCCAAGCAAGTGCCCTGCGGAATTCCATATGGAACAATCAAAACATTAGAAAAAAACTATTAAACATAACACATTGTTTTCTATTACTGACATAAAATACATAAAATTATTAGGTGTTTTTTCAAAGCCATGTGCCATAGCTTCATAAAGAAATGTTCATGATTAACAATAAGTGTGCATGTAAAAAACATTTTATCTTAACTTAATAAAGTTTTTTAAAATTGTTTTCATATTCAGACACAGCTGCAGTGATGGTAACGTACGGTTCAAAGTCTTATTGCCAAAATGACAGTTTGTCAGGACCTGTGTGTTTTTCAAGTTTTTTCAGTTCCTTGTGTTTTTATTTTCTAGTTATTCCTGTTTCATTAGTTGTACTGACTGATAAATATTCAAGGCTGAATGAAAAACCAGACTGTGACATTCTGGACACTTTGGCATCTTAGACGTTAAAATTATCTGACTATACAGTTTCACGAAAATGGCTGTAATTCAGTTAACTTTATGGGTAAAATTTGGTGTGGTAGTTGCTGAGAGTTATTCATAACATACTGAATGTGATAACTCCTGATATTTAATTATTGTGATAATTTAAGGGTCAAAGTTTGAGCAACACCTCTACAACTGTTATTTCTCAACATAAGTTCACACTGAAGCTCAATCTAATTTTTTTCTAAGATGTGATTTATTTTAATATTTCCTTTTTAAATGTAGTTAGTTGTTATTAATACATTTTTGAAATACAACCATCATCAGAGTGGGTGGATCAAATCTGGAGTTGTGCAAACAGAAAATATGTAGGAATGCCATCATTAACAACTCACATTTTACAGCTTTGTGGTTCAGTACTCTTGGAACGTTTGACTTTGTAAAAAAGAAAAGAAAAAGATGTAGTCAAAAGTTACAGGACACCCTTCAGAAAGGAAAGAAAAAATGAAATATCTGAATACCACAGGCCAGCAAGTTATGGGTGAGGGGGGCTATCTATTAATCTATGTCCACAATATAGCTGCCAACTTGAAAGCTGCCAGACTGGAACATTTTTTTTCCAATTACAGAAGCAAATTTCAGCTTGAAAATGGAAAGTAAAATCTAAAGATATATTTGACATAAAACCAATAAAATAAAAAGCAAACAAACAAAACAACCATAGTGATTCTAAAGAATTGTTTTCTTTTGTCTTGACAGACTGACACTTCTCAGTATTTCTATTTGAGCAGCATTTGTTAATAATCAGCCGGGTCATGTGGTGAGAGCTGTCACCGCTTTAATACGGACCACCCCTCTGGGACTAACTTGGTCATTAACTCTAATGGCATTTTCTGCTACAGAAACTGTCCCTCCTCCCTTCTCACCCCCCTCATTGATTCTAAAAGCAAGAGGCAAACGACTCCCAGGACACTCAGTTCTTCTAGGCAACCAAAGTGGTTGCAGGGAGTGTTTTGCCTGAACTTTGACCTGAGGACACCAGACTCACTTCACTGACTTAAACAGTTTGTGTCGTGTTAAGAGCAGGTCGGCACATCGTTTGTCGGGGTAAATAAGGAAGGGTGACGGCGGGCACAACAACCTGTGATGAAGACGAGGGGAGGACAGGTCTGGTGGCAAAGCAGCATCTTTAACATAACTGCTATTGATTTTAGATTCTCTCTCTGGGAGAAGCAGGATGTTTGAGTCACAGTGTGGACACTTTGTGTGTGTGTGTGTGTGTGGGGGGTGGGGGGGGGGGGGGGGGCAGGGATTCCCTACTATGTTGAGACCGTTTTTGGCATACACACCTATTTTGTGGGGACCAATGGTAGCCTGCATAGGGGGACCTGAGCCTTGTCCCTATTAGGAAAAATGCTGTTGGTGAGTCAGGGGTTCGGTTTTGGACTAAGGTGTGAATTCATTTTAGGCAAGTTTAGGGTCAGGTATGTACCTGTGAGGTAGGTTTAGAGTAAGGGGTCAGGGTTAGGCTGTAGAACTTAATGGAAGCCAATGCAATGTCCCCATAAAGATAGCTACACTAGACCGCGTGTGGCGTGCTAGTACTAAGTAAAACATCAGGTACACCATATGTGTTTAGTGTCATAGAGGACTTTGACAGTTTTTATTTAGTGGTAGTGGTGGGCACAGCTAACCAAAAGTTTAGCTTTGCTATGATGGTTATGGTGGATATCTTCCATAACCCACCATAGCTTTGCTAACTGGCAATCCGCTAACTAAAAATATTAGCTTTACAAATTCTAAACCACTTTAATCAGGTAGGATAATTAGTGGAAGTAATGCTAACTGATGGCCATTGACTCAAAGTCTGTCATTTAAACATAGACATAATATTCCCAGAAATGGCATAATCTTTGCTAAAAGCTCTTTAAACTTTGTACGCCCACCAAACAGTTAAAACCACAAGCGATTTGTGGGTGTAGTTTGTTAAAGACGTGATTGGTTGGATTGAATTTTTCGTGTGGGATTTGAAGAAGCTGGGGCAGCTGGGGGTTGCTTGGTTAACAGGAAGGTGCTTGCTTAAAGGGGCAATATCATGTAAAATCAACTTTTTTGAGTTTTATATCATGTTATAATGTTAAACTCTCATAAAAAACATTTCCAAAGCCTTGCTTTGACTCATTCATGCATGTTTGAGAAATCCTGCAGTGTATTTAGGCAGCCATGCTGAGGAGCAAAACGACAGGTGGGGACCAGAAACGACTTTTGGGATCAGAAACGCCTCTGGGATGTGTCTTTAAGCTGAACTTCCTCATCACGGAGCACAGCTCCCCACCCCCCACACACCCCGCCCATGACTCCCGCAGGCTCTCGGCAGTAACACGGCAAATGAGTGAAACTGAAAGTGAAACTTAAACTGTCTGCTGAGCTCCACTACTTCTCAATCAGTGAAGCTCTTTTCAGATTCAAAATACCTTTTGAGGAAACATATTTTCAGATGCCAAGTAAACTGCATCATAGCATCATAGCGCATCATAGCGCACACACCCCACCCCCCATGTCAAAATGGGCGGGACAGAAGCAGAAGGTGGTTCTTAAAGAGACAGAGGCCAATTTCAAGGCGTTTAGAAGAGGAAGTGATGAGAAGACAAGTTTATTTTCTATTTAAACATAAAAAGAGCATCTTAAAAACAACTATAGGTGACATAGATACTTTATTATGGTATAGTATTTAAATATTTGCCTGAGAAAAACATAATATTGCCCCTTTAAGAAAATTTTTTTCAATAATTTATACATGTTCACAATAATTTTTATTTGAGACATTGTTCTGTTTTAAACCATACAGAGATGGTCAATAAATTATATTTACATGTTTGCAACAATTTTAACATTACCATGACCTCTTTTTAAGTTGCCCCACAAGTCAATCAAACCAGTCACGGTTTTGCCAACCTCTGCTTTTCTCCCAAACTCCGCCAATGCTGGTTAAGATAGACTCCGCCCACAACAAGAACTCCGCCAATCACAGTTAGGGTAAACGTTACCCACACAAGAAGAAACTCCCCCTATGTACTGCAGAGACCCCTGCTTGAGAAAATGGGTAGCTCTTGTTGATGCATATAAACAGGTGAAAGACGATCAGAAAACAAATAGAAGAGGAACTATCAGATTTCCGTTTTATAAAGAAACGCAAAAAGTGATAGGAGCACATGATGTTGACTAGAGTTTTGAATTCTGGTCAAGGTGTTACTGTGCAGAGGCCAGAAGCAGTGTGCAGTAATGGTGACATACTTAAGTTAAAAATGTAATAAACGTACAATTTCTTGTGTGATTAGGAGTTTTCACATACCACAAACAACAACTTTTTGTAGAATAGAGAAATAACATTAAGGTGTGCAAGTAGCTGGAGATCCCTTTAACAGTAAAGTATTACAGTTAAGATGCAGTGAGTTTACAGTGAGATTAAGTATTATTATATTTTTATTATTTATTTATTATTTGAATAAAAATAAATAAGATTAAATCTGATTAGAATTAAGTTAGACTAACTTTAAAATGACTGAACATAAATCATTGCTATCAGTAATCTCTAGTGTATTCACACACACTTCTCAGGATTGATTTGATTGATGTCTGTTTGAGAAAAGCCTTTGTTGAAAAGAGACAGCTAAAGATTAAGTTAAATGGAGTAATTAACTGAATTAGAAATGTGTGATTTAAGTTTCATTTAAGATATTGAATTAACTCAAACGTCTTGGATATTGCAATGTTTAACTTTAAAAGAGGGGAGATGTTGTGAGATTAGTTTCTATTGTTTATCTAATGTAACGGTAGTTTGGTTTCCTGACCACT